CAACATCCCTCAAAGCCTACGGAAAATCAAGGATTTTGGCCATTTCGGGCCTTCCTGGAGGACGTCTTGGAAAGCTCTTGGGCTGTCTTCGATGCCTCTTGCGGGCCTTTTGGGCAGTCTAAGGCCATCTTGAGGCCATCTTTGGCCATCTTGGGGGCATTTTGGGCCGTCTTGGAAACATCTTGGGGCCATCTTGGGCTCTATTGGGGCCATCTTCTCCATCTTGGGCGAACTTGGAGGCCATCTTGGGTCATCTCAGCCGTCTTGGAAGCAGCGTTGTGCACATTTTCCGGTCGTCTTGGACCCGAAGGCGGGACTCGCCGAAGCCCCAGCGGGAGTCCGCCGCCCCCTGTTGCTTTCAAGAGGGGTGCCTTGCGTGCTGAATCCTATCGTTTTTGGTTTTGGTTCTTTTTCCAAAAGAACTCCCCCTGGGGCTCCGGCGCGTCCCGCCGGCCACCCGAAAGGATGCCGAAAATTTGCCCGGACCCGGCTCCAAAGGATCCTTCCTGGTCCCGACGGCTCCACGACGGCCCAAGATGGCCTCCAAGATGCATCCCAGACGGCCAAGATGGTCTTCAAGACGGCTAAGATGTCCCCAAGATGCCTCCAAGACGGCCCAAGATGTACCCAAGATGGCGTAAGATAGCCTCAAGATGGCCCAAGACGGCCCAAGAGGCCTCAATACAGCCCAAGAGGCCTCCAAGAGGTGCTCCAGGAGGGCCCGCATAGGCCCAAATCATAGATTTTCCTGTGTTTTTGAAGGATTTGGGCATTTGCCTCTTCTAGGCATTCCGACGGCTCAAGACGGCCCAAGAGGCCGCCAAGATCGCCTCACCATGGCCCACGAGGCCTCCAAGAGGCCCCCATGACAGCCCAAGAGGCCTCCAAGACTGCCCCAAGAGGGCCCCAAGACGGCCCAAGAGACCTCCAAGACGCCCAAGATGGCCTCCAAGACGGCCCCGAAGCGCCCCAAGAGGATTCCAAGTTGGCAGAGAGGCCCCCAGGACGGCTCCTGACGGCGTCAGACGTGTCAGGAGGCCTCCAAGAGGGCCTTCAGGAAAGCCAGAATAGGCCAACAACATTTATTTTCCTAGGTTTTTGACGGATTTTGACATTTGCTTCTTTCCGGCCTTCCGACCGACCGAGACGGCCCAAGAGCCCCCAAAGACCGCCTAAAGGTCGCCCAAGAGCTCTCCAAGATGGTTCCAGAACGGCCCAAGAGGCCCCCAAGACTGCCCCAAGAGGTCCCCTAAGACGGCCCAGGAGCGGCCCAAGATGTACCCAAGATGGCGTAAGATAGCCTCAAGATGGCCCAAGACGGCCCAAGAGGCCTCAATACGGCCCAAGAGGCCTCCAAGAGGTGCTCCAGGAGGGCCCGCATAGGCCCAAATCATAGATTTTCCTGTGGTTTTTGAAGGATTTGGGCATTTGCCTCTTCTCGGCATTCCGACGGCTCAAGACGGCCCAAGAGGCCGCCAAGATCGCCCACGAGGCCCCCAAGACGGCCCAAGAGGCCTCCAAGACGGTCCCAAGAGGGCCCCAAGACGGCCCAAGATACTTCAAGACGCCCAAGATGGCATCCAAGACGGCCCCGGAGCACCCCAAGAGGGCCCCAAGTCGGCCCAGAGAGGCCCCCAAGACGGCTCCCGACGGCGTCAGACGTGCCAGGAACCCACCAAGATGGCCGAAGTTGGCTCGAAGCTGGCCTAAGACGGCCCAAGAGGCCTCCAAGAGGGCCTCCAGGAAAGCCAGAGTAGGCCAACAACATTTAGTTTCCCAAGGTTTTTCACGGATTTTGACATTTGCTTCTTTCCGGCCTTCCGACGGACCGAGACGGCCCAAGAGCCCCCAAAGATCGCCCAAAGGTCGCCCAAGAGCTCTCCAAGATGGTTCCAGAACGGCCCGAGAGGCCCCCAAGACGGCCCCAAGAGGTCCCCAAGACGGTCCAGGAGGCCTTTAAGACGCCCAAGATGGCCTCCAAGACGGCCCTGGAGCACCCCAAGAGGGCCCCAAGTCGGCCCAGAGAGGGCACCCAAACGGCTTCCGACGGTGTCAGACGGGCTAGGAGCCCACCAAGACGGCCGAAGATGGCCCTAAGATGGCCCAAGACGGCCCAAGAGGTCTCCAAGAGGGCCTCCAGGAGGAAGGCCAGAAAAGGCCAAACTCATTGTTTTTCCATGAGTTTTTGAAGGATAGTGGCATTAGCCTTTTTTCGGCCTTTCGACGGTCCGAGACGACCTAAGAGCCCCCTAAGGTCGCCCAAGAGGCCCATGACGGCCCAAGAGGGCCCCAAGACGGCCCAAGAGGCCTCCAAGACGCCCAAGACGGCCTCGAAGACGGCCCAGAAGCGCCCCAAAAAGACCCCAAGTCGGCCCAGAGAGGCCCCCAAGACGGCTCCCGACGGCGTCAGACTGACCAGGAACGCCCTAAGACGGCCAAAGAGGCTCCCGAGAAGTCCCAAGAAGGCCCCAAGAGAGAGCCCAAGCACCAACGTGGCCTCTAAGACGGTCCCAAGATGGCCCAATCGAGCCCAAGAGTACCTCAAGAGGCTCCGAATATGCATCCTCCCCCTTCTCCTTTTTCCTCCTTCTCCCCCTCTTCCTCTTCCTCCCCCACGTGTTCCCCGAAGGCTTTCCAAACCGACTCGGGGAACGCATGGTCCGATAGCTTCGCCCCCTAAGATGCCTCCAAGACGGCCCAAGATGCCTCCAAGACGGCCTAACATGGCGTCAATATTGCCCAAGACGGCCCAAGAGGCCCCCAAGAGGCCTCCAAGACGGCCCAAGAGGCCCCCAAGAGGTCCTTCAGGAGGACCCGAAGAGACCAAAAGCATTCATTTTCCCTAAGTGTTTCAAGGGTGTTGGCATTTGTTTCTTCTCGCCATTCCGACGGCTCAAGACGGCCCAAGAGGCCTCTTCCTCTTCCTCATGTTCATCCTCCCCCACGTCTTCCCCGAAAGCTTTCCAAATCGATTTGGGGAACACATGGCCCGATAGCTTGGCAAGCCTCTGACCACAACGTTCGGCCACACAGGCGTTTCCGAAAGGGCAGGGGGCGGCGGTGATTCGCAGTAGGCGTCTTCGACTCTTTTGGAAAAAGAGCCAAAGTCCAAACCGAAAGGGTTCCGCACGCCGGGCACCCCCTTGATGAATCAACAGGGGGCGGCGGACCCAATGGCCTTCGGACCATCCCGCCACCGTGCCTTGGATGAGCCGAAGCCGTATGGGGAGGAGGAGGAGGAGGAGGAGGAGGAGGAGGAGGAGGAGGAGGAGGAGGAGGAGGAGGAGGAGGAGGAGGAGGAGGAGGAGGAGGAGGAGGAGGAGGAGGAGGAGGAGGCCTAGGAGGATGAGGATGTTCGTTGGATCTCGGGGGGGGGGCTTCGCGGGGGCCCTTTGGGGGCAGTCTGGACGCCTCTTGGGAACCGTTTCGGGGCCTCTTGGGGCCTCCTTTGGGCTTCTTGGAGGCCCCTTAGGGGCCTCTCGGGGACCTCTATAGGGGGCCTCTTGGGGCCTCCTGGGCGCCTCTTGGGGTCTCCTGGGGGCCTCTGGGGGCGGGAAGCTCGGATTATCGGTTCGGTTTTCTTTTCTTGGGCCCCTTTTGGGGCCGTCTTGGGGCCCTCTTGGGCCGTTTTGGGCGCCTCTTGGACCGTCTTGGGTTCCTCTTGGGCCGTTTTGGAGCCCTCTTGGGGGCCTCTTGGGCCGCCTTGAGGTGGTCTTGGGGGCCTCCAGGGCCGTCTGGGAGCTCCGGGAAGCCGAAAAGGCGAGAGCGCCCAAATCCTTCAACAACCTTATGGACATCAATGATTTTGACCTCTTGGGGTCCTTTTTGGAGGCTTCTTGGAGGCCTCTTGGGCCGTCTGGGGGCTATCTTGAGTTGAGCGTCTTGGACCGATCGTTCGGGGACTCGGGGCCCTCTTGGACAGTCTTCGGGGCCTCTCGGGTCCCTCTTGGCCCGTCTCGTGGCTCTTTTTTTCGTCCCAGCAAATTTCGCGCCACCACTTCCTGGAACCCAAGGGGGCACGCGGCAAGCCCCAAGGGACGGAACTTGGGGCCCGGGCCCCTGAAGGGGTCTGGGCCCCTGAAAGGTCCCTCGGGAGTGGGGAATGGAGGCTTCGAGGATTCGGCAGTGGACCCACTCCGTGCCCTGGGGCACGGAGGCGGGCAGGAGGCGATGTTTTCGGCTCTGTCCTCGCGGCCCCCAGGGGTGTGACACCCCGGGTCTGGCCCTGCTGCCTTGGCGCGTCGGGCCACGCGCTTTCGGTTTGCAGTGTGCAGTGAACTTCGGACGCCCGAAAGGGGTATGGAAAAATGGGTACAATGCCCAACGACAGATGTTGCGCAAAACCAACAGCGGCCGCGGTTGGGGCAGGCGGCCTTCTGCCTCGAGTGGATAACGTCCGCGGCGACGCGGACAGCGAATCCTGTTCAAAATGGACAGGAGTCGCTGTTGATCTTCGTGCCCCTCTTTTCCGTACCCATTTCGATCGTGCCGAATGAAGAAGGGAAGTCAGAGAACACCATTGACGTACGAGCCCCGTGTGCCAAGGGGGAAGGGGCACGGGGTTGTCCTCCAGAGGCGGCGCCGGCGGAAGGGGAAGGGGGGCCTTTGTGCTTCGGCGGGCGCCAGCGGAAGGGGAAGGGGGGGGGGCTGGTGGAAGGGGAAAGAGGCAGAGGGACGGGCGGGAAGGGAAGGGGGGGGGGAGAGGCAGGGAGGGGGGGGGGGGAGATGGGAAGGAGGCAGGAAAGGGACGTGCGGGAAGGGAAAGGGCGGGGAGGAGGAGGGCGGGGGCGGAGAGGAGGGACTGGCGAGAGGGAAGGGAAAGAGATGAGGGGGGGGGGGGAAGGGGAGGGAAAGGGCGGAGGGGGAGGGACGGGGCGGAAAGCAGGGGAGGGAATGCGGGTGTGGGGCGGGGGGAGGGGCGGGGTGGAGGGGAAAGCACGCGGGCGGCCCCCGGGCCCGAGCCCACGCCGCCCCCCCCCCCCCCCCCCCCCGGGCAAAAG